ATCGAAGGCTGTACTGGCATTATAGGCACCTGGGCTCCAGTTTCCAAAGCATACTGAGGTTGTCCAATAATCTGTTGTAATACAATAAAGACCTATTAAGAAAACCTCTCTTTATGGTGTTTGACTCATTCAAGTCAAAGTGCAAAGGCCATGCTTATTAATGAAAACCCATTTATAACTGTGCAGTGAGAACATGCTTGAATGGTTTTTATTTGTTGGAAGTGGAAAGGGGGAGCCACAAAGAGTTTAAACGGAAAAGTAAAACAGAGGGCATTTCTTACAAAGTTTACTAAGGCAGTGGTGATCAACCTAGCTAGCTATGCAGGCCAGATGTGCAGGGTTAGTCTATGGGCCAGATCTGGCATGGAGTCAGGACACAGGGTTGGTCCACTGGTGCAATTCAGTGCATCAGTACAACCCAGTACACCAGGCCAACCCCAGACACCAGATTCAGTTGCAGCACCACCACACAAGCTAGCACGATCCAGTGTACAGGCCATGTCATGTAAACCATGGGGCTCCCCCTGGGTCCAGAAATTTGATATCAGGGGAACACTGACAGCATTACATCGCTACAGTTCTGGGAGCAATTAATACTGCTATTGCTCTCCCACCACCACATTTCCAGATCTGTGGAGAGCCCCACAGACTGGATGACATGGTTCCACGGACCAGAGGTTGAGCACCATTGTACCAAAGTGTAGCAAAGATGACGTCAGATTATTACCTACTTAGGTTTTATATCTTCTTAACTGACAGGAATTAAATTATGCAAAACAAAGTTGGATCCTTCTTAGAAATTCAACACACTAGTTGTATGCCATTTCTTGGGAAATCTACTCTATTTCTTCAAGCCTAGGTATGCAGGTGGAGAAAGAAACCCTCATAGCAGCACAGACAATGCACTGGGCTATTCATTTCAGGCTTTATTCAAGATGCTTGTTTATATCTTGCACAATGAACATATTTGTTAAGCTTTCCATAGATGGCACTGACTGCCATTTAGCTTCAGGATTAAAATGAAAGTACTACTATTCAGCTCTATGACCTCAGTGCTGCAAACACTTCTGATTAACTTTGTACATGAGTTTTTAATACTTATCTCAGTGGATTTCTTCCTTGTGGGACATTTATTTGGATGCTGAAGTAACCTGTGGTATCAGGACCTATATGTGGCTTCTGATCATCTTAGAGACCACATCTTTCCTCAAACTGTTGTCCAAACTAACAGTCCTTTAGTTTGTACATTTAAGGACAAGTCATTCTCCACACAGGGACATCAAGGGGATTTGTTTTCAAAAGGCTCAGAGTTTGATATCCAAGGCATATTTCAAAACCTACTTATTTTTTCAAGCTTTTCCTGAAGAGGTGTGGGAATGTGGGAGAGAAGCAAAGGAAAGTACAGAACGGAGGGTTCTTAAGTACTACTACTGACATGCTGTATTATTGATTTTTACAGGTGTTTTTAAATTTATTATTGCACCTAGAGGTATTATGTACATAAAGCATACTGACACATACTGTCATCATTACTACATATATTGTATCCACAATAAGGATTTTTAGTCTGAATTATTACTATAAGTTTTAATGTAGGTAGAAATAAAGGCACAGCATGCTTTATATCATGAAATGGGGTTACAGAAGAGCCTAACATGAAAAAACTCTCTGGACAGCAGTTTGCTCAGTGCTAAAGATGAGAAGGTAATACCGGTATTTTTTTTTTATTTCAGTATTAACCACTTTAAAGCACACAGTAAACTATTCCCAGAATAATTAGTAATTTTCAGATTGTGCATTTTACCTAGGAGAGACAGGGAATAAGCAAGTATTACCCATCAGTATCAGGAAAACAGACTTACTGAACTGGAATGCCTTTATTCATGGAAATAAACTCTCTCTAAAAGGGCTTTAAAAGACTGAACACCATGTTCTGAATATTCTGTACACTGGGCAACTTCTCTCATTTCATTTGGATTAGCAATTATTCATCCTAATAAAATATTTTAGTATCTGTGGAAGAATCCTGTTAGTAAATTGCAACTGTGTCAACACTTGTTTAGGAATATCAGTATCATTATCATGATGTTTGCCATACAGAGTGGGCCTGATTCAGCTCTTTAAAACAATGGCAATATTACCATTGCTTAGTTCAGACGAAAACCTATCAGGCCCCAAAATGAGCTATAATTCTTCACAAACAATATTTCTGCACCAAATATATGGCTGAAGACAGAAGTGTAGATATAATGTGGAATACTGGAGCTACTGTTCTAAATGGTAGGTGGAAATGGAATGTTATGAATTTTAATCCAGACGCTACAGTAAACAGAGATGTAAAAGAATACAGGCTTGTCCAACCTTTGTTTTTGAAAGCAAGCAATTCTTAACAGATTTAGTCCTTTCTTCTGCTTGGGTCATGCAGCATTTCACATTGTCATCACACTGAAGATGACAATAGTATTATTATGTGCAGACTCATTACCAAGTTCTGAACCTACTTATCTTCTAAGTAGTGCTAATATTAGAAGTCCTATTTTATGCTTCATTTGTTCTAAGGGACTGGGAGGGTGTTGGGGGGAGGAAGAAGGAGACCAGCACCTAGTATTATTTATTGGTAGACATCTTTTCAGCAGCTTTCTGAAAAGCATTCGCCAAATAGTTACTTTAATTTAAAAAGAAAAAAAGCCACCACGACAACAACATTTATCCGTGAACAGTCCCACATCAGCAAAATGGCTCAGTTACATCTGTAATCCCACATACGTATGTAGAAGTAACCTACACCTAGACACCATGCATGTACTGTAGTATGGATATTAAAATAGCAGTTTCATATTCTCTCAGTTATGTAACTGTACCATGATGTCCATCCTCTCCGCATGACCATTTTTTTCCTTCTAGCTGGGAGAGGGGGAGAAGGAAAAAGGAGTTCAAGTGTTTCTATTCCTTCCTTCTCAGAGTCTAATAGACTACCATACTTTCATAAAACCTGTGAAATTCATTCCACACCGTCTCAAGACGAGCAACAGATTCACCTGATTAACCCTAGTCTGACCACTAGTTATTTCATACCGCATCTCCTGGCCAATACAATAAATCTGAATAAAACATCTTAAATGCGAGTAACAAAAAGGCCATGGAACAATGGAACAGTTTACAAGAACTGCTGCTTTCAATAACCATCCTACATTCGAGTACTGATAGTCCAATGTCAAATGGATTACCTGGTTACCAGCCCCGGATGCAGACATAGTCTGTTCTGAAAGATGAATTATGCTTGGCTGAAGTGACTGAGGAAGTGGAGGCAGCTGCTGCTGCTGCGAAACTGCTTGCGTGCTCTGAGTGTGATGGGGAGAGGGAGCTTCATTCTGAATTATCTGCTGGAAGGTAGTCTGGTACATCTGGGAGAGCTGGGATATTGCATGATGTGTTGGCAAAGCTGACACTCCCGGTGGAGCCACAGCAAGTAAAGGTATTGGAGCAGCTGGCATATTTGGCACTATTGTTTGGCAAGGCAAGACCAAAGAAGCCACAGTAGTATGAGGAAGGTTGACTGCCTGCATGGGTAGGGCAGGGGAGTTTGGTGCCAGAGGCAGAGCAGGGTTCATGGGAAGGCTTGGTAAAATCACAGCTGGAGTAAAATACTGAGAAGGAGCAGGAATAGGGGGTACACTTGCAGCAGGTAAATCAGAGAGGTTTGGAGGAAGGTTGTCAAGTCCTGCCAGAGGAGTAATTGCAGGAATGACAGGAAACTGAGGAATCTGAAAAAAATATAATATCACATAAATTGCAAATGTTTTCATTGATGGTACAAAGTACTTTCATTTGCCATATAAGTACGTAAATCATGTGTGCCACGATACTTATGTAGACAAGGTTCTTTGGGTGACACTGATCTCTTTTAATTAGACCAACTTAAATTACAATTAAAATGATAATAAAAGATACCAGACTCACCCAAAGAACCTTGTCTGCCCATGTCCTTAGACCAACACAGCTACAACCTACACCCATGATACTTATGTCAGTTTCTTAGTCACTTCTGTCCAATCTCTGAGGTTTACAAACATCCATAAAAACAATTTACATTGTTGGATACAAAAGGAGAATTTAAGATCTGGCCACTTTAAATCCTAGAAATTCACAACTATATCTGAGACCATTTAGCAGCCAGAGCAACCTACAAATACCAGAATCATTACTTTTATTCTGAAACAAACAAAAATCAGACTATAAAGATGTTTTAAAATGTAACCCTATCATATGCAAAATTAACTGTGTTTTAAAGCCCATATTGCAAGTGTGCAGTACAGAAAAAGCTGTAAAAACAATTCTTAAATACACAAACTCCCAATAACATAGCAAACTATAACTACCCTGTAATTGCCAGCCTGTAATTTAACATTTCTCAACAACTAAAGCTAACATAACATGCCTTCAGGCCTCTGGCATGCACCACCAGGGATATTGCATACTATGGTCCCATCCTGCAAAAACTTATGAGAGCAATTAGTTTCCCTACCAAAAAGCAAATTAATTACAATATGCACAAGTGCTTGTACAGTCAGAGTCTAATTTTTAAAATGCCTTTAATATCATATTTACCCTTTTAAAACATTCACATAAGTACTTCAGGGTAAGTTTTCCTGTAGTCAATGGCAATACTGTGCGCAAGAGAGGCCATAATAACCTGTTTTAAAAATATAGGAGTGTATCTTTTATTGAAAGTCCAAGAAAAAAATAAAAACTGAATAATTCAGTAATTTTATGGCCATGCTCAGATGTATTAGATTAACAAGTAGCAATTAAGTCAGAAATTCTTTAGAGTAAGGTTGCTTTAAAACTTCATAGGAAATTTAAGGCAGATACCTTCCTTTTGGAATTGAAAGGATTTCATTTGCCATTTAAAAATGTATTAGAAGCAAATGTTGAAAATTTTGTTCACTGCTTCCTTTAGTCTGTTTTGGTAATATGCCAAAAGATGCGTACATCACAGAAGCAACTTGCTTTTCCTTTTTGTTTAAGCTGCTTCACAACTTAAGACCCATTGTTAGCTAACCCACTGAGTGGCTTGAATAGGAATGTCACCACTTGAGGCCAAAGTAAAGGTTCATCTCTGCTACTGGTAATGGAGAGAGGCAGAGAATTAGGAAAGGAGATGGATGGGTAGTAGAAAAGAAAGTGAAGGTAGGAGCTTAAGAACATAAGAGTGGGCTAATGTTCATGTTCTTAAGACTGGGATGAGAAAGAGGGTCTACCATGAAGGAAAAAATGCAGAACTACAGTTATTGTAATTTTAATAACTAACATTAATCAAGTCAAACAGGCAAGATTTAGGATTACTTCACAGAACATTTCTGATTCACTAAGAAAAAAAATCATGAAAAATATAAGTAACATTTAAAAGCTACATAATGCTGAAGTATAATTTAACATTTTCAGGAAATGGTTGAAAACTGATGCAGGTTACATTAATCAGTGACCAGAAAGCTCTACTTGAAGGAGGCATACCTCTAAATGATAACTGTCCAGTGATATCTCAAAAGTACTTTACCTGGGTGGGTGGGACTTGAGGAGCCTGTGGCACAGTAGAAATCTGTAGGGGTTTTAGTTGTATACTGTTAGCTGCCACCTGAGAATTCTGGGTTTGATACTGGGGTAACAAATGGGCTGCAGGCTGCAATGGACAAACTGGCTGGCTGGCTAGAATCTGCTGCAGGGAGGCTTGCTGTGCCATGGACTGCTGCTACAAGAGAAAAAAAAAAAACATATTAAACAGTCAGCTAACTGGACCTGTCTTCCCAGTTAGGATGGCATGGTTATAACAGAAATGCCACTTGTATGGAGTACTACTAGTAAAAAGGCATTCTCAATTTACATCCAGACTCTTGAACAGGGTTTAAGTTGCATCTAAATAAAACATGCATACCAAAATATCCAGCTGTCTGAGAAGGTTATTTTTAATAAAAATCAGACAGACACTTTAAATCTTGGAGAAAGCTAAAACAAGCCAGGTCAGATTCAAAAATCCCCATTGGCCTCAGAGTTCTATACACAGACCAAACTAAACACATTTTAGAGTAAAACACTGACTCAGCAAGTATAGTAGCCATTCAAATTTACTGTAAATTCATAATACAATATAGGTTGCCCGATAAAGGAATAAAATATTCTTACTGCAATAAAGTTACAGGAAATAGTACCAATTGTATAGAGCAGGGGTCAGCAATCTATGGCTTTGTACACGGGGCTTTGGTGGTGTGACCCATCCCAAGCAGCAATGGATAGGTCCTAGTGCCTGCCCACCCCTGACCCAAGTGGAGTTATCCTGGACTATGGTCAGTAAAGGTTGCCAACCACTGATATAGAGTATTTTCTCCTCACCCACCAAGAACACACATGCATTTCCCAGCACAGGATGGGTATTGACAGCAAGAAGCACATGACTTGTACTCTCCTATCAATAATGAAAGGTGAGCAACAGAACAAGGAAGAATATCCACAGAGGTGTTGTTTTGTGCGTTTAGTTTTGTTTCTGCTTTTAAACAAATGTGTAGAGACGCTTCAAACTATTAGGAAAAAAATCTCTTGATAAAAGATCCTTCCAATCTTCACAGAATTGATCAGGTGACAATGTAACTTTATAATCACTTGAATCCTGGTCTACAGAGACCACTGTCTAGGAGCTGAAAGCTTAGCTATATCAAGATTTGTAAGTCCTTCCTTTGTATCAAGAGGTAATTATTAGCTTTTTCAGCAACAGATACCCCTTGCTCCCAAACTTTTACTGTAAGCTTATGCTGTATTTTATAAAGATATGATAGCATCTACATGCAAATCTAGTTTCCTAAGTATGCACAAAAGAAAAAAGAAAAAAGGTGACTCAATTGAAAGCCTCTTTCAATTCAACTGACTCCTGCCTAGACTTTAATCAAGGATTTACATGTGTACCATTGTTTATTTTCATTTGAGACTAGCCAATGTGTAATCAGAGTTAATAGTACTGCCCCCTTCCGATAAATGATTATGAATCTCTTGAGAGGCTCCACAGTCATAACAACAGAGATCAAACTCAGTTCCTCTGAGTCAGGGTTAACCTGACAATTTAATTAAAAAGGAATAGCTAATGTGGCCAACTTAATAAACAGTAATAACAAACTTTGTATATTTTTCACTTGTAATGATCTATCCTGCTTCAGCCATCTCAGTTAATGCTGGATGCATCTGAAAAAGACAGTATTCCTGATGTTAAAAATGTAATTATAAAAATAAAAAGAGCAGTTAAATGCAAACATCTTTCAGTTTTTCTGGTTCCAAGATGCAGCAACTGAACAATGTCTTGATTGGGTGCTTTTTTATCACAATGCTTCAATAAAAATTCTTTCTTCCTTTAAATCACATGCACACAAAAGAAACCTTGGCCATCTCAAAACAACTAAAATTCAAGAAAGGTTATAACTGTTTGAGGACTACCAGCATAATGATTTATGTTTCTTACTAACCAGGATTTAGTGTTGCCTGGACAGATTTGGTTCACATGACTGGACCTGTATTTGGTTACTTAACGTCTACTAGCACACATTACTCAACAAACCTAGAACTCATAGAATCATAGAAAATTAGGGTTGGAAGGGATCTCAGGAAGTCATCTAGTCCAACCCCCTGCTCAAAGCAGGACCATCCCCAACTAGATCATCCCAGCCAAAGCTTTGTCTAGCTGGGTCTTAAAACCTTCCAAGGATGGAGATTCCACAACTTCTCTGGGTCACCTGTTCCAATGTATAACTACCCTCCTACTGAGAATTTTTTTCCTAGCATCTAACCTAAACTTGCCTTGCTGCAACTTAAGGCTGTTGCTCTTTGTTCTGTCATCTGACACCACTGAGAACAGTCTAGCTCCATCCTCTATTGAACCTCACTCCAGGTAGTTGAAGGCTGCTATTAAATCCCCTGTGTAAACAGTGTGGTACACCACGTGTACTGGTCCTGACATGGGAGGACCCCAAGAGGCGCAGCAGGACACCAGAGGAATGCAGCAGAATGCCTGGTAAGGGCAGGAAATGGCCGTCACTTACCTACAGGTGCAGAGCTGGCGGAAGCAAAGCAGCAAGCAGTACTGCTGCTGCAAATTATAAGCACCTGTTCTTTGAGGCTATTGGGGAGCACAGGACATTACGCCACTGACTTGTGCCCAGAGCCAGCTAGAAAAATGCAAGTGGAGCCGAGGAAACTGAGTACTGCGGCTGCATTCAACCTTGCAACACCAACAAGATTGGCAAGAAATTGAGCTGATTTCCCAGTCTGGAAACCCACAGAGGTATCCAGCCACCCGGTGATCAAGGGTTGGCCACAGTAGGGCTCGTAATGGACCCCAGAACCTGACACTGGAAAAGAGGGCATGTGAGTGGGATAGTGACCGTGGCCTGACTCACGGGCACAGCAAAGATGCTGTCTGTCCTTTAAATTGCATAATGCTTTAAAGTAATGGTCAGCGCTAATCTGAAAAGCTGCAGACTACTTATTTGGGGTGGGTAAGGAACCTCACATACAGAAGCAACTAAGGCTGGACTGTTTGATTTGAGTGGGTGAATTACTTGGAGCAGGGACTGCTGAACAGCCAGGAATTAACTGGGGGCTGTGACCCAATTGCTACCCATCATGAATTAATTTTGAACTTTATTTATTTAAGAGAGCCAGTGAATTAATTATGAACCTTATTTATCTACAAGATTAATTTTGAACTTTATTTATATAGAACAAATTAATTATGTACTCTGTTAATTTTTGAAAAAACTCAGTGTGCCTGGAGTAAGGCTTGATGAACTAAATGCAATCAAAAGTGAATTATGAGGCTCCGGAATCACTTATGGGTCTGGCATCATCAAAACCCCAGAGCAGGTCAAAGGCATCAGGCCATGTTACCCTGGGGGGCAGGGACACCTGCATCAGCCAGACCTTGGTTGGCGCATGAACAGGATATAGGGGAGCCCCAAGAGTACCAACGACATTAGCATTCTTGCCGGTTGTTCATACCATCCCAGGACCCTCATTTTATTTAAGATCAAGGCATGGAGGGGAAGCTGAGGGAAACACCCCATGGACAAGCTGCTCGAAGTTCCTTGGTGCCCAAGCTAAGAGGAAGTCCAACCACAGCAGAGATCTCCTGTGCCTCAAGGCACCTCCTGTTCTGGCATAACTGTTCGCTTCACCTCAGTCTCCTCTTCTCTAGACTAAATAAGCCCAGTTCTCTGTCTTTCCTCATAAGTCATGCCCCTGAGCCCTATCACCACTTCTGCTGCCCTCCGCTGGACTCTTTCTAATCTGTCCACATGCTTTCTGTAGTGGGGGGTCCAAAACTGAACATAGTATACCAGATGCGGCCTCACCAATGCTGAATAGAGGGGAGTAATCACTACCCTTGACCTGCGAGCAACACTCCCACTCTTGCCTGCAAGAACATTGTGGGAGACTGTCTCAAAAGCTTTGCTAAAATCAAGGAATACCGCATCCACTGGTCTCCCCACATCTACAGAACCAGTCATCTCATCGTAGAAGACAATCAGGTTGGTCAGCCATGACTTGCCCTTGGTGAATCTATGCTGGACTATTTCTAAATCAACCTCTTCTCCAAGTACTAAGAAATGGATTCCTTAAGGATCTGCTTCATGCTTTTTCCAGGGACTGAGGTGAGGCTGACTGGTTTGTAGTTCCCTAAATCTTCCTTTTTCCCCCTTTCTTAAATATGGGCACTATATTTTCCCTTTCCCAATCATCTGGGACCTGGCCTGACCACCGTGAGTTTTCGAAGATTATGGCCAGTGGCTCTGCAACCTGAGACAGCTCCCTCAGCAACCTTGGGTGCATCCCGTTCAGCCCCATGGACTTGTCCAGCTTTTTTAATAGCTCCTAACCTGTTTTTTTGCCACTGTTGGCTGCTCACCTCCTCCCCAAACTGTGCTGCCTGGTGCAGTAGTGTGGGAGCTGACCTTGCCTGAGAAGACAGAGATGAAGAAAGCACCGAGTACTTCAGGCTTTTCTGCATCCTGTCACCAGGTTGTCTCCCCCATTCAGTAAGGGACCCACGCTTTCCCTGATCCTCCTCTTGTTACCAACATGCTTGTAGAAACCTTTCTTGTTATTCACACCCCTTGCTACTTGCAACTCCAACTGCACTTTGGCCTTCCTGACTTCATCCCTGCATGCCCGAGCAATGCTCTTATACCTCTCCCTATTTATTTGTCCAAATTTCCACTTCTTATAAGCTTCCTTTTTGTGACTTAATTTACTGAAGAGATCCCTGCTAAGCCAAGCTGGTCTTCTGCCATACTTGTTAGTCTTCCTGTGCTTTGGGATGGTTTGTTCCTGCACTCTCAGTAAGGCTTCTTTAAAGTACAGCCAGCTCTCTTGGACTCCTCTCCCCAACAGACTAGCTTCCCAGGGCATCCTGCCCATGGGTCCCCTGAGTGAGTTGAAGTCTGCTTTTCTGAAGTCCAGGGTCCTTACTCTGCTGCTCTCCATCCTTCCTTTTCTCAGTATCCTGAAGTCAATCATCTTGTGGTTACTACTGCCCAAGTTGCCATCCACTACTACATTCCCCACCAATTTTTCCCTGTTTGTGAGCTGCAGGTCAAGAAAAGCATGGCCCCTAGTTGTCCGTTCCAGCACTTGCAGCAGGAAGTTGTCCCCAACACTCTCCAAAAACTTTCTGGATTGCCTGCACACTGCTGTGCTGCCCTCCCAGCAGGT